AAGTTGGTCTATATTTTAATAATGACGAAAATCTTTTATTATGACTATTCTCAGCTTCTGGTCCATGGAAGGCCCACTTAGACCACCCGTAGAACAGATGAGACAATTGCTCAAAGGAGTAAGTGCTAAAGTCACAGACATTTGGAAAGATGTACTCTAAGTTGTTTAAATCGTTGAGGGGCTATTTGATAAATCTAGTATTCTACAGTCGGCCTTCAGTGTGGGTAAAATGCTCTTCCTGTCTCCAATAATCTCATTGGTACATTCCCTTAAGGGTGTCTGTTCACTCATTCATCCACCAAATGTCATTCAGTACTACATGGTACAACAATACTTTCTACTTTACTAAGAAAAATACAAGGCTCGTGATTGTGATTTAAAAGTGCTAGCAATTATGCATTGGGATTTAAGATTCAGCAGGAGATTTTAGAAAGGTATTCTAGCATCAGCTCTCGTAGTAAGCAGCAGTGAGCTTTATGTCTCTGGACATCAGCTTCACAAAATGAAGTATACTACTAGATACACTACTAGATTTTCAGCCCTTTGAGAAGAAGCGGAGCCTTTAAAGAATTTCTCCATGAATATGACCACTTCTGAGGAGAGTGTGTGTGTGTTCACGGTGGGGCAGGAGACGCACGCAGATGAACTCCAACAATGAGTGAAATAAGTGTCACCGAAGTTTTATTACTTCCAGTGAAAAATCCACAGAGTGGGTGACTTTTCGTTTGGAAATGTATCAGGTGAGGCTTTGGAATCTACTGCTGATCCTAAATGTGGGAGTGGGGGTCCACGTTCTATACGCTCTTCAAAGGCAAACCCTTCATTTCATTTATCTTTGCTGCCTCAGAACCTGCTCCATCTAAGGCACGTACAGGTACGCTCTGATTGTAGAAATAAATGACTAAATTAATTCCCAACTCTAAAATTTAATATGCCCAAAAAGGAAAAATATAGAAGAATAATTATTGCAAATGAAATCTTTAGTTTTTCTTAACCAAGTATGAGCAGGTTTTTATCTATGATTAACAGTTGATTTTTTGAAGACATGCTCTCAATTCCTTCTGGGGCCATTTTCTGTTCGTAATCAACAACTCATACCTATGAAAAATAATCTTTGATTCTCGTGAGAAGTTGCTTCCTTTGTGGTTCCCGACAATCTGAGTGTAAGTGGTCTTATTGCCCACTGCCATTCCTACCTTGGCGATCTTGACTGCAGACCCGTAACCAGTCGAAAATCCACAGCCGATGAGGCAAACTTTCTCCAGCGGTGAAGCTGCATCAATTTTGGCCACGGCGTTCTCATCCACCACGGTGTATTGGGAGAAGGTGCTGATGCCCAGGAAGTGGTAGACGGGCTTCCCCCTGCAGGTGAACCTGGTGGTGCCATCCTGCATGGTCCCCCGAAGCTTGTCCAGACTGGTCAGTGCAACACACAGACACACCAGGGCATGAGACAGGAGCATGACTAATGTGCAAAGTCAAGGGCTGTGCAAAGAAAGGATGAAAAACCTACTCGTTTTTCAAGCAGAGGTTGCTTTCAGGGTGTTTACAAATTCTGCATTTTCCACACTGAGGAGTAAATAGTGGGATGACTTTATCACCTGGAGGAGGATAAAAGAAATTCTTCTTAAATTTCCAGAAATTTATGGAGGAAGAACTCAAAGCTTATATATGTATCTTGGAGGCTTGTGTCTTTGACAAGTGTCCATGAACTAGGGTCCAATCACTACTGTGTCACCTGCCGACATTGGTATTGGTTTGGGTTTACACGTGCGTGAAGATTCCCAAAGAGGAAACGTAAATGTGGAAAACAACATAGATTTTAAAAATTATTTCTGTACAGTTAACTTCTATTGAGTGTCCTGATTTCTCCTGGGGGCGTTACGCACATCATCTCGCCTAATCCTTAAATAATTAAGTCTTCAATATTCTCACTGTAAGTATCAATAACATTTTCAGTTGAAAGCGGGCTGCCATAGTTCCACAGGATGTTGGCGAGATGTGATATTTTGTAATAATTTGAGCTAAAATAAAAATGAGAATTTGGATAACCGACTCTTGGCTTTTCAAAATGAGTGTGCTTATCTTTAATATGTAGTGAATGCTTTTGAAAAATATCTTAATTTCTTTTTGAGGAAAACTAACAAAAATAGGACAAAGAAGAATGCAAGATATTCCTCTGAAAGCCTCAATCCTCAACAATGAGTTAGGCATGTTCTTTTAGGAGAAGAGCTGACTTTCAAATGG